ACTTGGCATCAATCACGATATAGACAGGGAACCTGAGTGATTGTTTTGGTAAGCTTCCCTTGTTCTAAGTTACTACTATACCATTTGACGTGCTCATTAGCTATTTTCTCTTTTAGTGACCGAAAAAGCATGTTGTCTTCCGTTTCTTCAAACATACGTCGAATCTTCTTCCCAAGAACATATCTGAAATCATTTTTACATATTATGTTGTTGTTGTTGTTTTATTTATGGTTTTGCTGTTCATAGGAATACAATAAAAGGGCGCATGGCATGTTGCTTGTGCATGAATGATGCATGCAGATTTGCACTAACGATGTGAAAGAAAAAGGACAAAATTTGGTGGAGCATGCGCACCTGTCTAGTATCAGTGATGCGCTATTCGTTGTAAACTAGTTCATCTTCAGTTGGAGGCTTCGGTGGTGGCTCTCAAACGGTGCTGTCGACCATTGATAAAGGGTTCCGTATTTGGCTACTTCGTAATCCATGGCATGGTCGAGAAACCACTGCAAAGAAAAATTAGAGGAGTTCATCCACATGGCATGGATAATTGTACTCACATGCGTTTTCATCGTGTATGTTTGCGGAGCTAACATGACCCAAAGATCTCTAGTATGTTTGACTATTAGTCGAGCCTTTTCAATAATTGTAGTAGTTAGACCACCAGATTTGGATATCATCCTAAGGCACAACCAATAGTCGAGCAAACTAGCTGCAGCAAGGGGGGATTCTATTATATCCACGGCTGCGGCTAATGGGAATACCACGGCCGCTAACTGAAAGGTAGATTGAGGCTAGAAATGTATCCATGAATGCCCAGCCTCATCGACTTCTGCTGCTTTGCATGTTGAAAGATCTTCTAATGACAATATGAGGTTGCCGGCATATGTGTGGGACTGAATTCCAAGGTGACTAGTCCTCACATGTTCAATGTCCTCGGCTGCAATCCTCATTCCCGAGAACTTGGATGTAGCTGTGAATAGGTCTAAAATCTTGTTGATGGAAGGTTTTTTGTTGAACTTACAGTACCGTTAAGCCTGTTTCGTGTTATCCCTTCAGAGCAACATGAAGAGCGTCGCCGAGGAAATTGCACGGCTTCATGAAGTCCAACATGAAGGTTCTCTCTGGAAAGTGTACAGCAATTGACAGTTTACGTTCAACGTAAGAAACTTTAATTATCGCCGCATTGTCGGGGTTCCGCATCAACAGCGAAGGATTCCTCACTTCGATTATTGTGTCCTCGTTGGTTTCAGCTATCCACACGTGTTATCCATCCTCATTCCTCTGATATAGCACTTAAAACATCCATATTCCGCATTTCCATCGTGGAATACCGAAAAGCACTTGCTGAGCCTGAATCTCGAAACTCAAGATCGGACATGTAACGCATATGCGAAGTATCACCGCCATATCAGCACGGAATAGCTCAACTTCAACGGTCCAAAGCACATCTCCGATTACTATCTCCAGAGGAGCCTCGCGCAAACTTCTAAGCTCAGAGTCCAGCCTATTATTATCTTAGCATTTGCAACCTGCTAAAATGTCAAAAAGGAAGATTCAAAAGAGAAAAACCTGCTAAAAAGTTCTATCATTTTTTCGGAGGGCTTGAGACGGCTAAGCATCGTTCCGGCTACAATTGAATTGATAAACTTGTCCGCTTCAGATGGAGGAAGGCCATCTACACGAAGACATAGTGGCCATATTTCGCGCCTAAACGTTAACGTATACTTTCTTTTCTGTACTAGGAACCAGTGAGAAGTCAGACTTTGTATTCTTCTTGGTACGAATCCGTCCAATGAGAGCGATAGCAGTACTTTCACACGATCATCATTGAAACTAGAAAGACTTTCGATGTTGTTATAGTATCCCTCAAAAAGGCGTTTGTCGCTACAATCCTCGCTTGCTTCCATCTATACAGAATAGGTGGTAAATGATGCCTGAATAGTCTACTTAATAAGTTACTCTTTGATCATGAAGAAGACGGTGCATTTCAATCATCTTCTCCAAGTTACAGACAAGGGTGTCCGTGAGCTGTGGAATTATAGGGTGCACTTCTGATCTTTCCATTCTCTATGCTCTTTTCGTAGCCAGATTGAGTGAGAAGTTAGCTGGTCAGTTATAAAGAGTTTAAAAAATCGAACCCGTAAAGCTTGCATCTATGATTACTGCAAGAAAATTGCCCTGCGCTCATCCCTTCTGAGCACATGGAGCAG